ACGAGTAGAGGTGATAAGTCGGAGTTGAGCAGCTGGGAATGTGCGGCTGAGAGCCGACTTTAGCTTTTGACGCACATCGTTCAGAAGGTGATCGCCCTTGAAAGATAGTTTGATGTAAACGGCTTTCTGGGGAACAGTTGGTGATGGGTTACCCTTTTGGGATTGTTTACCATGGAAATCAATGAATCTTTCGGGATAACCGTTTCGAAGCAATGTTTGCTTCAGGAATTCTTCTTCATCTCGTAGTGTGTCTGGGGAACAAATGCCTCTAGCTCGATGGAATAGAGTTTTTACGAGTCCACTTTTGTGAGCCATGGGTGAGAAACTAGAGAACTGTAAATTTTGGCCAATCCATGTTGCTTTTCTGTGGATAAAGTGCCGTAATGTACCATCTGAGCGCCTCGTAATTCTGATATCCAAAATTGATAAAGAATCGTCGCTTTCTTCTTCATGGGATACGGAAAGATTTGGATGAATAGAATTAAGTTGTCTCAAAAGGGATTCGAAATGTTCACGCCCCGCAAGAATAAAAATATCGTTTACATAACGTCTGTACAAGGTGGACTGGGAGATATTATTAGCCAGATTTTGTTCAATCATTTCTAAAAATACATCGGCTAGAATTGGGCCTAACGGACTGCCCATGGCCACGCCATCAATCTGCTTGTACGTATCTCTCTCGAATTCAAAACGAATGTTTTCGGTACATAAAAATATTAGTTCTCCTAAGTATTAAAGAGGAATAGCAAGGGGAAAATTACCTGAAGAAATATAATCACATAACGAATCAACTGTCTCATGGAGCGGAACATTGGTGAAAAGGGAACCCACATCTATCGAATACATACGTTGTGAAGATATTGTCAAGTTTTCTAAGCATTTGGAAAGTTCGAAGGAATCTTTTAAACAATGGGGTGTTAAAGACTTAAAAACTGGATTTGGAATTTCCACCAGCCGTCGAGCGAGTTTGTGGTATGGCGATTTATGCATACACAAAATTGGTCTGAGAGGTGTCCCAGGTTTATGAACTTTAGGAGAGCCTCTCATTTGTGGTGTTTCTGTTCCCATTGGCTTCAGTTGTTTGTAGTGCGTTTCGGATATGTAGCCATGTTGTAACAGAATTTGTAGTTTTCTTGCGATTAGGTTTTCAGTGAGGTGGTTGTTATCCGGTGTCTTGTCTATTCGAAACTTGCCCTCGTCCATTAGTATTTCTTTCATTTTTTATATAACTGTCCTTGGTCATAATCACCGTACCAGATCCTTTGTCCGGTTTGGGGAATCTAAGATCTGGCATACGTTTCAGTTCTTGTATCGCCTCAAAGTGTTCGGAAGTGAGGCAGCTCTGTTGCCGAATCGGTGCCGCAAGGTACGACTGAGAAATATTCAGAATTTTTGCACGGAACCACCCGGCATTTTCTGTTGATGTGGGTTAAAGGTCCTTCAGCTGATCACAGAAGTTTTCGAGTTGAACTTGATTCTGAAGACTGTCAATTTTCCTTGGTGGAATCTGAAACTTCATCCCAAGTGATAAAACATCCATTTGTGTTTGTGTGAATGCGATGGATGTTAAGTTGTATATATGTTCAGACGATTGTACGGAAGACACAGATGAAAGCTTTCGTGGAATTGTGCTGAGTAATTTTATGATTGTTCTTTTTTTTGTCTTTTGAAGAGTTGAATTGGAAAAGTTTTCGAATTTGATTCTGCATACCAAGTTGAGATCACTTAGTAAAGGAATATATCGTTGTTGTGTTTCAATGAACTTGTTCATTAAATTGAGTGATGTAGCCATGTGAGATGTTGTGATTCGTATCAGATTAGTTGTATTCACTTGCATTTTCTCCTTCACAAGCAGCTTCGAGAATTGGCGTAGAAATTGTCCAGAAAATACACAGTCGTTGTAGAAATGAACACGTGTTCGTTCAACAATGGTTGTACAATGCAATGTGAGCAAACGATCAAGTCCTCGCGTGATAGAAACGGGGAGTCTTCGCTTTAGAAATTTAAAACACTGGGTCCCCTTTATCCATCGTATCAAAACCGAAAGAAGAAATATGTCGCCAGATGTTAACATTTCGTTTAATCTTCTCCGCCAATATTCACAGTTCTCTAGTTTCTCACCCATGGCTCACAAAAGTGGACTCGTAAAAACTCTATTCCATCGAGCCAGAGGCATTTGTTCCCCAGACACACTACGAGATGAAGAAGAATTCCTGAAGCAAACATTGCTTCGAAAC